GGGCAACTGAAAATGATTTTCGGGATTGCGCATTGTTGTTACACCTGCTTGAAAATTTATTTGTCTTTGCACCCTGGGGTGAGGCATTTTTCTCTATGACGAAACTTTGAAAATAGACTGATTGAAACATGCCATGAAGAATGTAGTTAGTAGATGTATGTGGCGGATCTAGGGGAGGGGCTCGGGGGGCCCGGGGGCCCCTTATTTTGGATAAAGAAAAGTCGGCAGGGCAAGCAAAAACAAAACCGCCCCCGCCCCCCGCCCAGGTCTGGATCCGCCACTGTATGAAATGGTTTAGGTTGAAGGTGCTCTTGTCTCAACGTATCTTCCACAGAAGGTAGTAGGGCAATTTAATAGGATTATATTAACTAATACTTTACTGTTTGTTCTTTTAGGTGAGCACCAAGTTGAAATGCAAAGAGAAACCTACATAAATGAGCAGTATCAGTACGGAGAATCGTGAAAATGTCAAGGCTACAGCTCTTCGTGTTTAGCAGATGTTGTTCCAACAGGCTTACCTGGATCTGTTTAATAATATATTCTGTATCATTCCTGGGTCTCTTTCCAATCCTTTTCAAACACATGAGATATTCATTGTACTATCGCAACCCTTTTCATAACTCATCGAGTGAGATGGATTACCATATGAGACAAAACAAATTACGTGCTGCCAAGGCATCACAGTTTTGGAGTTCACAACGTCAGAGTATATCACTTGACTTGACGAAAAAGCAAAAAGATGTTGACATTGATGTCATGATAGTTACAACATCTCGTGATAACCCACTAGTCAAAGGAAAAAATCCCAAGTTTTTGACTCAAATTTTGTGGCAGTTTGTCCACATTTTAAATGACCCAGAAACAAAAGCATTACCATGGAAAATAAGTTTGTCAATCTGTAACGTTGACTCAAAACATCATGAAGAAGCACGGAACTTTTCTTCCGTTGTGCAGTATTTTCAACGTTACTCTGATGAACCAAAAGATGTGGCACGGCCGAACATCAAAGAAAAAGAAAAGCAAGATTATGCATTTTGCCTGGAAGAGAGCCTGAAGTTCAACCCAAGGTATTCCTTGTTAGTTGAAGATGATGCTTTCCCTCATCCGCAGTTGTTTTATATCTTGTATAACCTTCTTGAAATCAGAGGAAGTGCCATGGCCTCTCGTATGCGCGACTCAGATGTCCTGTTTTATAAATTGTATCACCCAGAAAGACTGCAGGGGTTTTGGAGTATAGAACCAGAACGCATTCCTGAACTTATAAGCTTTGCTGCTCTCTTTGGAACTTGTTTTACATTACTAGTAATCTATTTGTTGCCTAAAAGGACAAAAGCGAGTTTCAGGTCTCACACTTTCCATGTCGTTTGGTTTTTGATCGTAGGTTACTTTACATTGACAGCCATTGCTGTTAGTAGGCAGCATTTAAATGAGTTAAGGTATATATCGAGGAGTATATTTTCAGTTGGTCCCACACCATCATGTTGTACTCCTGGAATGCTTTTTGTGGCTGATAAAGCTCAACACTGGTTACATTATATGAAGAATCACACTTGTCGCTCAAATTATGGCAAGGACAGTATGTTAGATGATTATAGGCATAAGTTTAACATGAGAGGATTAATTGTGCAACCTAATTTGTTTGTCCATATTGGCTTTTTGTCATCTCTTAATCAGAAATTGTTGGACCCTTCACTTATGTATTACCCGCAATGGTTCAAGCTATTTTAAGTGATCATTACAATCTGTAAACTGTGGTATAAGGAATATATTTTTTCAAAAATGTGAAAAGGCCGATGTAAGGAAACTTTAAGTTGTAGCAAGAGAATATGAGCTGTCTATCATGGGTTGGAACAAGACTACAACCAGGACATAATCTCTTGGTTGTAGTCTTGTTCCAACCTATGATAGTCCAATTAAATAATCCTAATATTTATTAATAATATCTATTTATATTTTTATTTCTTTTTGTATTCCGTTCAATTGTTTTATGTTGACGTAGTGGTTTATAGTTCATTGAGCAGGGAGCGAATTTAAATGAAATACCTTTGCCTCTTCCATAATCTAACAAAAAAAGTGATGATAAACTAAGTGGACAAAATTTCCATAATAAGCTCAGGGACGTTGCGTTTGTCCAGTAATCGGACAGTTGGGTGCATTTTCTAATCCTTAGATAATTTTTTACACATTTACCAAGTAGAAGATGAAGACAAAGTGCTGCTTGCACTTTGAAGGTAAAGGCTTTTAAAAATATTATCAAGTTTTTTATCATCCTGCGAAACGTAGTCCGCGCCTATCATGATCACCCTTTTAACTATAAAACTTCGGGTATTGTAGCACATTGTCTTCTCATCACTGGAACTGAAACATTTCATACCTCAGTGGTATTAAAAATGCAAGCTTGCAATTTCATCTTGTCAGAAAATCTGTAAGCTTACTTTTTTATCCAAAAAATGTAAAAGCTTCGGCTTATTCACTTTCTTACCTGAATAATCCGATACATGTTCAATAAACTGTGTTATGTCTGTTTAATACAGTCTGCAAACCCAGTGACCTTTAGTGTGCATTCACTTGTTTAGCCAAGAACAATTTGATAAACAACTGGAAGTAACGAAGTAGGTAGGACCAGCACCGTCGCCGAATTTTTGACTTCTACCTGCTCGTTTTCTTTTGGGCAGGTTCCGTTCACCAATCACAGTCGCGCATCTCAGTGGCGGGAAAATATCGAGCGGGTTGCGGCCATAGAAATGGCGGGAGGTTGACGGAAACTCCGTTATTACGAATTTCCGTTTATCATTTAATTTCGTGAGAAACAAAGATAAAAAAAACAACAACAATCAAGAACCGACGTGTTGTGCATTGGTTTTCTGTTGGGGCGTCTATTTTATTTTTCACTATAACTTGCGTGTATTTTTTACCTTGGAAAAATAAATAGTGAAATGAATGAGAATTAAGGAACATCCACTGGTTTGATTTTTGAACCCTTGGATTTCGCGGCCTTTCAGCGCGACGTGAAGTACGACAATTATAAACCTGGAGTCTGATCAGCTATGAAACGACAGTGGCACAGCGCGAGTCCGGTCACCCCAAAACGCAGACCATGCAGACCGAGTACCTTTTTTCTAACACTTCACTCACTTTTTTCGCTTCTAGTGACAAAATAGAGCTCAATATGTTCTAATGTTTGTTATTTATCCACAGGCGGCAAAAACTCAACATCTGACTGTTGATTCACGCGTTTAATAGACTTTCTAAGGGAAATTCCCTTTACTGGTCCTAAACAAACTAAAATCAAGCATAAAAATAAAGTTACATTCTGGGCGCAAATTGCGCCAATTTTTGACGGGTTTGTGGTTTTAAATATCTATCAGTCTGCAGTCTGCATGGTTTGCGTTTTGGGGTTACCGGCGCGAGTAAGCTAGTGAGGTCTCCCAATCGGTAGTTGATGCAAGGGGAATAACATTTTGACCTCACTCGAACAATATTTTTTCCACACTATATGAAGACACCAAAAAGGATTCTGTAGACATACTAAAGAGTGGAGATTGCTCATGCCGAAATTAAGGCGAGCTATTACTGCGCCGGCTCCCGGTTTATTTGAAAAACACCAAAATTCACTTTGAAAATGGCATTTCAAGGTTACCGTGTTTTCGCGATAAATAACCCTTTAAAACCCCACTAGCCCACTAGCGTTTATTTTTCAAATTTGATTCGGCTGAGCCAGTGCTTATCCAAGCCCGACCATGGTGTTTATTCCTTATGTTTTATAGTTCTATTTCTTGCCATTTCTTGAGGTCTTACAAAATTACAGGATACCCGACCATCTTTTGGGTCCCGGGGAAGGGTAGGGGATAATACGGGCATTAAATCACTTTTGAACAACAATCTGTCCCCTGGGGGTGGTTCATTTGACTAATTTTGACTTTGGGTTCCTGGCTCCGTCCCCACGTGGGGCGCGCTGGCAATAGAGAAACTAGGTACTAGTTCTACACATGGAGCTTCAAAGATGGGGGAAGGCACGAGAAAGGTAAGAGCGGTTTGAACCACGCATATCTTGCTTTCACTTCATCATCACTGCAATTGATATTCAATTTGAAGCAAATAATTTGCATTGAAGTTCGAATGATATCCAGAAGGTCGAAGGGTTCATGTCATGACCTGTTTTCATCTTTCAATTTCTACAGGTTTTATTCCATTACCAAGATAGGTTCTAGATCTCCAACAAAATGAGGATGTTGCTGTAAAAGTTAACGAGTGTTTTAGCCTGTTGAAGCGCAGATAATTTTCCAAAAATGTGACATACATATCTGAATGTGGAGTTAGTATTGTACTAATAATTATAATCAAAGCTGCATACATGTAAACTTGGAAGACAAACATTTACATGCATTTCTTTTTTCTTGAAACTTTTGATAGTTTCAGCTTACTTTCCTCAGGGGTAAGGGCGTTTGATCTGAACTCTGGCCTCATGGGGTAGGGATATTGATGCCTTTTGACCAGGGTCAATGTCAAATCCCCTACCCTTCCCCAGGACCCCAGGGGTGGGGGTATCAATTGACTAGTGCATTAAAAAGGATGGTGGTATTTGTCAGAAATTTTGAAGAGAATCCCTAAGAGGTAAAAAGATCCTGTTTTGTGGGCATGGTTTGAAATTTTTTTCACCCCCCTAGAGGTACCAATTCTAAAACAAAACATTATCTCCTGTCATATTTTTTTGGTTTAATACCCTAAAAGGTACCATGAAAACCACCGATGTGGACCTTTTGAGGATGAACACCCAAGAGGCACCAAAACTGCTTTTTTAACC